TATTCATCCTGTAAGTGGTTACTTTGTAAGCATTTGAAGCGGTCTGCTGCAATATGTCCCCTCCATTAAGCTCTCAGTATCTGGTTTAACTGCTCTGGAGCTAAAGAAGTCTCTTGCCCTAAAGACTTCCCTAAACTCTAACCACATTTTCAGGCCTTGATGTGGAGGCATTTGGTCTGATAGTAGGAATCTTGTGTTTCCTGTTGCACAGAACACCAGCTTGATCAACACCAAGAAGAAGCTGGAGACGGACATTTCCCAGATCCAGAGTGAAATGGAGGATACCATCCAGGAAGCTCGCAATGCTGAGGAGAAGGCCAAGAAGGCCATCACTGATGTGAGTTGGACACTCCTGGCATTGCTGACGATGAATGTACTCTCCCTAAAATATCTCCAGTCCCAAAATGGCTTTGACCTTTTGCTCTGATCAGGCGGCCATGATGGCAGAGGAGCTGAAGAAGGAGCAGGACACCAGTGCCCACCTGGAGAGGATGAAGAAGAACCTGGACCAGACAGTGAAGGACCTGCAGCACCGTCTGGAAGAGGCCGAGCAGCTGGCACTGAAGGGAGGCAAGAAGCAGATCCAGAAGCTGGAGGCCAGGGTGTGTAGGGCTGGGGCTGTGCCTGAGTGAGCGTGTCTCTCCTTGGAGAGCCATTGTCAGGGCAGCTGCAGGGATGGGCTTGTCCTTGCAGGTGCGGGAGCTGGAAGGGGAGGTTGATGCTGAGCAGAAGCGCAGCGCTGAAGCCGTGAAGGGCGTGCGCAAGTACGAGCGCAGGGTGAAGGAACTCACCTACCAGGTAAGGCACGAGCTCTCCTGCTCTCCCAGGCCTTTCTCACAGCGAGTCACATTTTACCCACACCATCCCCAAGGGCAACTGTTAACCTCACATGATGCAGAACCAAGAATTGACTGTCTATTCTGTTTACCAACTGCTTTAGTCTGAGGAAGACAGGAAGAATGTGCTGAGGCTGCAGGATCTGGTGGACAAGCTGCAAATGAAAGTGAAATCCTACAAGAGACAAGCTGAGGAGGCTGTAAGTATTGCTTGGAGAAAGGGCAAAAGCCACATTCCATTGGGGCAGAAGACATCTTGAATAATCTGAATACCAGGAGAGGCATATGAAACTAACTCCCAAGACACAACTGTCTTGGCCACGCTGCTTTGCTGTCATTTCTCGAGGCCTTGGTGAGCTCTGGGCATCCTGCAGTCAGGGACATTCATTAAGGGAACATCTGCATTATGGGAAGGGGCATGTAGATTTGCAACCCCATAAGGCTGACTTGCTGCAGGAGTGAAACCCTTGCCCTGGGCTCCTCACCCTTGATTGCCTCTCCTCTCACAGGAGGAGCTGTCCAATGTGAACCTCTCCAAGTTCCGCAAGATCCAGCACGAGCTGGAGGAAGCTGAGGAGCGGGCTGACATTGCAGAGTCACAGGTCAACAAGCTCCGAGCCAAGAGCCGCGACATTCATGGCAAGAAGATAGAAGAGGAAGAGTGAGGATGTCATGAGACAGCAAAGTGACCTGAGGGCTGCACAAAATGTGTACCCTCTGTCACTTCCTTGTTTCTGCAATTTTTGTTTTAACCATTTTAATGTCTAGAGAATAAATCCTGTAGATTCCTTTGTGTGCATACCATGAGCAGTACTTTTCATTTCTTTCTGGTTTTATTGGTTAGACCTTGATTACCATTTTTGGTACTGTTTTGCAGTTTTTTCTTACAATCTCTGTGTACTTATGTCACAATGCAGCTTTTTTGTCATCTAGTTCCTGACTACTTATCCCTTCTTTTTTTCTTAGTGATTGAGGTGTGACTAGAAAAATAACATCACATGAAGAGAAGTCAAGGACAATAATTCCTGACTGTGACTCCTGCAAGTTCTTCCTACTGGTATACCCCAGACAATATCTTCTATTTTATTTACCCTTATGGCAGCTCAGCACTTTCCAGCTTGCTGTTGTCAGGTGTGAGATGCTCCTTTTCCTGGCCTCTGAGAGTGATTTATAGAGTGGTAATAACCCAAAGAATTTATGGGGTTTTTTTGTGAAGCTGACCAAAAGTAGTCTTTGGTCTCCACTATTTTTTGCCTTGATTTTAATTAGAAGACAATGAAGAGTAACACATTCCCTTGAATTAGAACTGGAGAAGGTTGATGACAGTTGTGTGAGAATTACCTTAGTTTCTATAAATTAGATCAGTGTCTACAAAAGATGAGTTTCTGAAACACTGCCCTGTCTTGGGGAATTTTTCTTTCCTGCTGAGAAAGACCAGATGTTTGATGAGGTGTTTTCCTTACTGGTGTTGTAGAAACTCAAAACCCACACGAGGAGCTTCTCTCACTAGCCTATGGGAGGAGAGGTCAGAGAAGACAGCAGGGAAGAGACAGCTTGCAGTAGTCCAGCAGTAAAAGGAAAACACTTCATTAGTAACTGTAATTTCATTAGTAGCTGTCCAGATGAATGATTTTTCCATTCAGTGTGCAAAAGAAGCAATAAAGAAGACAGGCAAGTAAATAGCAGATTCTGAGCCTGAGCAGAGATCTACATAAACTGACATTAAAGACTTGAGTGCAGGGGGAGAAAGTTACCATCTTCAGTGCCAGGCCCTGCCTCCTAGGGCAGAGTACACTGAATTCCCAGGGAGCACTGGACCAAGCATATGTAACACCTGCAGGGAAAGAACTGGTATGGGGAACTGAGAGGGTTTATGTCCTTCCAAAAGGAGCAGTCTGTCAAATTCCAGTCAGCCTTACGAATGAAAAAACAGACAAAACTTTGAGAGGATAGGTGAGCGTGTGGACAGAGAGATACAGATAATTGACTAGGATTTCCAAAACTTTTCAGCAAGGTTATGAAAGCCAGCAAAGGCTATTATAGAAGTGATGAAGCCATGGGATAAGGAAACCTCTTAGTCAAATAGAGACAGAATAAAAGAGCTATGTATACTGGGGCCTGTGTTGTCCAATCTACTGATAAAGCAGACAACATCAAGCTGGATGTTTCAATTGATAAACCAATGGGAAGGAATGTTATCCAGTTAAAGAGCTGTCATGAGACCTCATCTGTAGTGCTGTATTCAGCTCTGGGACCCCCAATAAAAAAAGGATAATGGACCAGGTGGAGCAGATGCGGAGGACATGCAAAGCTGAGCCACAAAAAAAAAGTTCCAAGTCCTGGAATGCCTCTGCTATGAAGAAAGGCTTACTTAGTTGTGCCTACTCAGCATGGAGATGAGAAGGCTCTGAGAAGACCATATTGCAAGTTTTCAATATATAAAGGCACCTCTTTAGAGGGGGAAAGACTTTTTACCTAAGCTGGTGGCCACAGGACAAGGGGAAAAGTTTTAAATTAAAAAAGGTAGATTCTGGTTGGATATAAATTGATATTTTTAAGAAGAGCCCAGTGAGACACAGGAACAGACAGGCCCCAGTATACAGGAATGTCCCATCAATGGAAGTGTGCAAGCTCAGGTTGAATGGGGCTTTCAGCAACCTGATCTCGTCAAAATTCCCACCCACAGCAGTGGTGTTGCACTAGATGAGTCTTTTAAGGTTTCTTCCAACCCAAAACATTCTCTGATTTGTCCACTAAGTTCTGTATGTCCGTGGAAGTCAGAGATTGTGCAGACACAGGACTTCTGATGCCCCCCTGCACTCACAGTTTTATACAGGTTGTTTCTGTTTCTGTTTTAGAGAGCTCCTCCTGTTCAGGGCAGAGGGTGTTTCCACCAGTTTCCCCCTGCCCTGAGCAGGGATCTCAGGGCTGAGCTCTGGTTTTGAACTCCAGAAAGTTGCATGCTTATCCTTGGAATAAGCTTTTCCTGCCAGTGCTTATTGTTGGATATGTTGGATCCCATTTACTGACCTTGCCCCTCTGCACTTCACTGATCTTTACCCACTGAGCTCTTTTAATAATCAAAATGCCAATGACCAGGAGAAGAGCATGCTCAGAACCAGCAGTTTAAAGCAGCTCAAGTGACAGTGCCCTTTTTACTAGAACCTGACCACTCATTCTCCAGAACTACTGGCAAATTCCCCCTTTCTCAGAGTATTGCCTACAGCAATGCTGCTCCAAATCAGGCAGCACTGTGTTGAGATCTCTTCTTGCTGGAGCTGTATGAATATGTAAGAGTGCAAGACATTTGTGATTTGGGAGTGCTGGACTGAGGATGTGTCAGAGTGGAGAAGATCCCAGACCAATGCTGTGTGTGTGACTGTGGTAGAGTTGTTGGGCAGAAGGGTTGAGGTTTTTTTGAGTTGTAGGTAGTGAAGGCCTGACTTGGTTGAGAGCATTGCTTGGTATACATTGACAATAAGCATATAAATATTAGCAACATGGGCCTGAGCTCTTTAAGGCATGTTAGAACTTCATGTTTGTGAGAGATGAAACAGGAAGTATCACTGTATATTTATTGACACTATGTCTACTGGAGTTTAAAAGTATTTCCTGGTCTAGGTTACTTTTGCTTCTTAGGCTCTCTTAACTTAGAAAATCTTAAATAAATTTAGAGAAGCAGAAAAAAATATATTAATAATTTTCCTATTAATAAATTTGCTTGTTATACATTTCTTCTGTATCAGCTCTGTAACAGAAGCATAAACTTTTTCACAACCTGAAATTATTTGCAAAAAAATAGCAAATTTTTTTCAAGTGTGAGATTTTATGAATCATATTTGTTTGAAACTATGAAGAATTTTCTGTTATATCACTTATGACTGACTATTGCAATAGTGAACATTCCTCTAGTATGCACATTTTGCATTTTTTGATTTCTGCAAAATACCAAGTGAGGATTTATTCACATACATACTCAATTGCTTTTATAGCTAAGGAGTCACATTTCACACTGAAGGCACAAACTACATGTCCAAACTTGAAACCATATCTGACCTTGCTGTCTGTTGGATTCTTCTCTATCTGATATTCCTGGCCCACTATACGCCTGGTTTTCCCCTTTTTATTATAATACATAATGAATCACTGGAAGAGTTTTAATACTAATTTGTCTTTTGTAGAGCTGCCTTTTCTAATGATGAAAAGGCAAGCTCTAAGTTCATAGGACCACATGTACAAGATACATTACATTATTTCCCTTTTACATCTGCAAAAGTACAGAAATGCCAAAGAAACCCATCTGGATCAAAGATTAAGTTACCTGTAAAGATCATAGAAGAACCAATAAATCATACATCCAAGTTCTTTAAGTGCCTTGACTAGTCCAGATTCCAATATTAATAGCCCTGTCAGACTATTTATAGGAAGTGTATCTACAGGGATGGTAAGATGCAAAACATTTCTAAATATATCAGGTCAAATGACAATTATGCCATTAGTTAAGTTTGCCAGACAATATTTTGCCAAAGATGGTTTGCCAAAATATATTTTGACAGAAGGAAAAGGAAACATCCAAAGCATCTGCATACCAGAGTCTATAAAAGTCTCTTTGGAGTGCTGTGCCCAGTCTTGGCAGAAAATTTCGAGGTAAGTGTTTGGCTCCTGTGAGCTGCTGGACAAAACATATACCTTTTTATTCCATTTAACTTCCTATAAGACTTGGATATCCACTTCTGTCATAGATGGACTCTATCAGCAGTAACTTTATTGTAGGTTTGAAGGCAGCATGTTTTCCTTCAACTTATATATTAGATCTGAATATCTGTGCAACACAAAATGAGATTTTATGTTTTCAAGTAGCAGTGACCACTGCCACCAAAATCAATAACAAAATTTAACAACTTTTAAGGAACAAGATGAAATCCAAGAGTTTATGATTTGTGGAAGGATTAACAAGCAATAGTAACATTTATATCTCTTATAAAGCAAGATGAATTATCCATAGCAAGTAACTTTTAGAAAGCCATCACTTGCTATCAGAAAAAGAACTATTTCAGAGTCTTTCAGTAGCATTAAAAAAAAAAAAAAAGGCCTACCGAGGCAAGAAGCGCCAGGAGGCCCCTCCACACATCTTCTCCATCTCTGACAACGCCTATCAGTTCATGCTGACTGGTGAGTGTCATGATTTTCTTTAAAATCACTTGGCTGTAAACACTCAAAGAAGAGAAAAAAAGTCTTCACTGCACAATAGTTCAGTTTAATGTTGCTGTGAATGTGGATGTTCTGTCATCACTGTAAATAGATTTTTTACTGAACATCATAATTTAGGTAAAGTTTATAGAAAACAGTGTTAAATTTTCATGTCCAGCGTGTTTGGGAGGATATGATTTAACACTGAATACATTGTCAAATTTTCCATTCAAGAAATTTGAATATACTTTAAAGTTCTACTTTTTCTCAGATGAAAGGATTGTTCTTTGAATGATTTGCTATGCAGAACTGAAAATAATTAGTCTGAATTTCTGTAAATAACACTGTGTGTAAAAGGAAAGTACTTTCAACATTGGAGCCAATATTTCCTATGGTAGCTTTACAAAAGTTCTGGAATCAGTCTCAGTCAGAAATTGCAGTGAAACCTGCTCGGAAAATTGATAACTTCCTTCCCCTGTCTCAGAATCAATTTCTTGTTTTTCATTCATTATTATAAAGGAAAGAAATACCAAAGAAAGGTAGTGACAATGTTTCTAGCACTGTCTAAATATCCAGAATTTTAGGATAGAGCAGATTGTTCAGAAATATAGATAACAGTATAACAACATGCATTTTAATTTGTAAAAAGAAATCTTCTTCCCTCTTTTGTCCCCAATTATTGTATTTAAATCTGTAGCTTTCAGAGCATTAAGAAAGTTAATTAGAAGAGAATACAATGAAAACAAACAATATTAAACTGATGTTTGATGAGTGTGTCTTATCAGGGTTGTATTCATGTAAGTTGTCATATATTTACCCTTGCTGACACATTCATAAGACATGCAGAAATTTTGTGAGTGCAAACCCAGACTCCTCGACTACAAGCTAGTTCCCTAATTGTTTAGTCTCTTCAGACTTCCTGGAGATTTTTCAGTTTTTATAGTGCAAATATTTGGTCAATGGAGTTGCAATGGGAGCATAGGTTAGAAAAGCAACCAGACAAAATTGTGGAAAGCAAACTCAGCTCAAGATATAGCAGAGAGAAATATTGACTCCAGGTATGTAAGTACCAAAATTAGAATATTCTAGATCATGACAGACTGCTTTTGTAAAGGTTACTACGTATTTACAATGTTGCTCTGATTTTCCTTAGGCAATAATCAGTTGGCCAACAACATTAGAAACCATTTAGGAGGCTTATTGATTGATCAGGAATAGTTGTTCCTATTTAATAAATATTATGAGAAGCACATGCTCCAGTTCAAATCAGCTTACTGATAGAGAATTTAATCAGTAACTCTACAAAATTGATCATTAGTTGGAATAATCTTTACAAACAAAATTAATAGTATGACATGAAGGGAATAGTCAGAAAAAGAAGTACAACTGTGCTTTACCTGGCATCACCTCAACTTCAAGACATCAGCTTCCCAGATGGATCTAGGAACATTAAATATTGAAAAGCAAGTAGGGGTGAAGGTAGAAAGGTTTATTAATGGAAATAGATGCCTACTGCTAGTGCACCTTCTAAAAGTCACAGGAACAATTAAACCAATTATATTTATGACACATAATAATAATCATAATCTCTTCTTGTCTGCCTTGTTCACAGATCGGGAGAACCAGTCCATCCTGATCACGTACGTACACCCCCTGCGCGGGTCCCTGCGGGGCTGCCCGGTGCCAGGGCACCTCCTGCCTGACCACGCACCCTCTGCTTCTCTCTTGCCTTTGGCAGCGGAGAATCCGGGGCCGGGAAGACTGTGAACACCAAGCGTGTCATCCAGTACTTTGCAACAATTGCAGCCAGCGGGGACAAGAAGAAGGAGGAGCAGACCTCAGGGAAAATGCAGGTGAGTCAGGAAGGACAGACTGAATGCTTGGCCTGTCATAGCCCTGTCAACCAAACACAGTGACTGAACAATGATGTCCCTGCAGGGAACGCTTGAGGATCAAATCATCAGCGCCAATCCCCTGCTGGAGGCCTTTGGAAACGCCAAGACCGTCAGGAACGACAACTCCTCACGCTTTGTGAGTTCTTGCTTTGCATAAAATAGCTCAAGGCGGAAAGGAGCTACCACATCTTTTATCAGATCATGTCCAACAAGAAGCCAGAGCTAATTGGTAGGAAAGAGCATTATGGCTTTTTTGATCACTGAGGAACAGTTCCCTCTCTCACCTGATTGGCAAAAGTAAACCTATGCCTTGCCTCTTCCTCTTTGCAGACATGCTCCTCATTACCACCAACCCCTATGATTTCCACTATGTGAGTCAAGGGGAGGTCACTGTCCCCAGCATTGATGACCAGGAGGAGTTGATGGCTACAGATGTAAGTAACACAGCAACAAAGTACCTACAGAGCATGACTTGAGGGTGCCATCTCTGACCAACTAAGGACACATTTTTGAATTAATTATTTTGACTGCAGAGTGCCATTGATATCCTGGGTTTCAGTGCTGATGAGAAAACAGCCATCTACAAGCTGACAGGGGCTGTCATGCACTATGGGAATCTGAAGTTCAAGCAGAAGCAACGAGAGGAGCAGGCAGAGCCTGATGGCACTGAAGGTATTATCAAATTCAGGGGCTGATTTGTGTCCTTCTCTGCCTCCACAGGCACACTGCAGTTACCTGAGTCTCCACATAAAACACTGAGAATTCCTTATTTGCCCTTGGTCCCTCTAACTGCAGAGGTGCTTTCCTAATCATGGGAAGTTCCATTATTCTGTCCAATGGTGGATCCCTGAAATCATGCTGCCTGAAAGCAGAAACTTCAATTTCAACACAGAATATTTCTCTCTCGCCCTTGAAAACCTCCAAGCACAAAGACACCCTTAGGGGCAATTTGGTTTTGATGAAATAATTTCTGGAAGTTGTGTTACCCAGAAATCCCCTTCCCAAAGAAAGAGAATATGCCTTGCCTTATGTCTTGCTAGAGGCTTTTGTTATTCTTCTGGGAAATTCCAGGTTCAAGCTCTTCTTATCCAAGCCATACTTGTTATTTCTTGCTGTCAAAGACCACCATCAGTAGCATCCAGAATTTGCATTCCTTCACAAGCCTTCTATATGGAATGAGATAAATCCTCTTCCATTCCTAGAACATGAACAGCAAAGTTGTTCACAACACCTGAATTCCAGACACTGAATGTAAGCAAATGCTTTTTTCATTCTCTCTCCTCCCCACCTCTAGTGGCTGACAAGGCTGCCTACCTAACGGGCCTAAACTCAGCTGAATTTCTCAAGGCCTTGTGTTACCCCCGAGTCAAGGTTGGGAATGAATATGTGACCAAAGGTCAAAACGTGACACAGGTAACATCTGACAGTCGAGAATGCACAGCTTGAAGGAGTATGTGCACAATTTTCCTTGCCCTTCAGAGGTAATTCCAATCCTGCCTCCTCTGCTCTAGGTGAACAATTCAGTGGGTGCCCTGGCAAAGGCAATGTTTGAGAAGATGTTCCTGTGGATGGTTATTCGTATCAACCAACAGCTGGACACCAAGCAGCCCAGGCAGTACTTCATTGGTGTGCTGGACATTGCTGGCTTTGAGATCTTTGATGTAAGGAGCAAGGGTTTGACACCAAAGTCAAGCAATGGGCAAGGAGGGGTCAGGAGGACTCAGAGGCACATAGAGGACTAAGGTTCACACAGCTATGGGCCAAAGGGGTGGATGCTCTTGTGAAGGCAGTGGTCTGGGCAAGTTCACAGCGTTTCCTGTTCTGTGAATGCTGTGATGATGCAGGAACTTCTGTGTCAGAACACAAAACTACCAGATTATAGTTCTGAGGCCAGGGAAATTCTTGGGTGGGACACTGAGGAGGTTTCTGCTGTCCATCAGCTCAGAGAACTGACACCATGAAGCTACTGAGCTTACCAAAGACTTGTATCTGAGTAGCACAGTGAAAAAGAATTGTCACTTTTGGCTTGATTTGCAAACTAATAATGGAAATGTCCTTCAAGGACTGTGAGTCTTAGAGTAGAAACACATGCTGGTATAGTAGGGTTTGGACTGGTGTTTCAAGTTCAAACAATCTTAGGAGAACGGCAGCAAAGGCCTGTGTGTTTTGGCACACCTTGAGAACCTGTGCACCTTTCCTTACTTTGGGCAGTTCAACAGCTTTGAGCAGCTGTGCATCAACTTCACCAATGAGAAACTGCAACAGTTCTTCAACCACCACATGTTCGTGCTGGAGCAGGAGGAGTACAAGAAGGAGGGGATTGAATGGGAGTTCATTGACTTTGGCATGGACCTGGCTGCCTGCATTGAACTCATTGAGAAGGTACCTTTCCCTTGCATGTATATGATGGTTGTTAGAATACTCTGATGTTCCTGAGGCACAGTCAGCTCAGAAAGAACTCACAGCCAGACATGTAGCATTGGTTAAGGAAAGTACTTTGTACTGAAATTTAGTTTAGCCTGGGAAAGAAATACGGAAATGCACGTCTGTCATCAATTTGCCTCATCCAGTCTTCAAGCATGGAAAATTAGCCTGGACTTCCACCAAAAGACTTCTAAAACCAAACTGAATTCAGTCTGCTTTTCTTCCTTCTCCAAAGGCTCAAATCCAAAGTCTACAGGCAAATTTGATAAATAAATATCATATCACTTCACCTCCCTAAACTACAGAGCCCCTTGTAGGTGTTTTCCCCATATTTTTCTCTTTATCATGGCTTCAGTTCTACAACCAATTTTCATGTAAACTGGTCAGACATTCCTACCAGTTCCATGAAGGCAGAGTGCAGAGAGGCAAGGGGTGGAAGAAATAAACTCTTTGACTCAGAACGACTCCTGGTAAACCTAAGCTTTCATCCAGATATACTGCCAACAGCACAACCAGACTTTTATATTCATAGCATAGGTTTCTCGTCATTGTCATAGAGTCACAGAATGGTTTGGGGACCATAAAGAACATTTTGTTCCAATCCCCTACCATGGGAGGGGATTCCTGCCACTAGATGAAGCAGTTGAACATCCCATCCAAAGTGATATTGAACATTTCCATTATAACCTTCCCTTGTCACTTGTGCTTTCTCCCAGCCCATGGGCATCTTCTCCATCCTGGAAGAGGAGTGCATGTTCCCCAAGGCAACTGACACCTCTTTCAAGAACAAGCTCTATGACCAGCACCTGGGCAAGTCCAACAACTTCCAGAAGCCCAAGCCTGCCAAAGGCAAGGCTGAGGCCCACTTCTCCCTGGTGCACTATGCTGGCACAGTGGACTACAACATCACTGGGTGGCTGGAGAAGAACAAGGACCCTCTGAATGAAACTGTCATTGGGCTGTACCAGAAGTCATCTGTGAAGACCCTGGCTTTACTCTTTGCCAACTACGGTGGAGCAGATGCAGGTCAGTTTTATGGAAATTGTATTTTTAATGTTGGACAAAGTTTTCTTAGAATTAAAGCTGCAAACACTAGAAATATAAAGAGGATTTGTGTTCTGTAGTATCCAATATATCGTGTCCATATTATTACAATTTTTTTCTTTTCTGTGAATTGCAGATGCTGGTGGTGGTGGCAAGAAGGGAGGCAAGAAGAAGGGTTCTTCTTTCCAGACTGTCTCAGCTCTCTTCAGGGTAATTAGAGTATTTATTATCTCCTTAAAGATGGAAAGCATTTTTATTCTGAATCTGGAAGGTCTCTTTCCATTTTGGATGTAACTCTTGTCGTCCTTTAAAACCCTTCTCTTTCCATCCTTGTAACTTACACAATATTCCTTTTATAATGCCGTCTTTGAATATTCCACAAAAATATCTAAAGGGTTACGTTCACCTACTTAGATGGGAGTGAGTAACTTACCAGCTAAATTTCTTAAAATCCTCTCCAAGGCATTCAGCTATATTTCCTATACTATTTTTGTCTCTTGCGAGATTTTCAGTACTGTCTCATAATAGAATTTGACAAAAGAAATTACTCCAAGATTACAGGATTTTAAGACAATGACTGGATTTCAATGTGAAAAAAAGTGAGGGCTAAATTATATCAAATTAATGATTTGCGAGGTCAGTTTTCATCTGTCTTCAAAGTTTGAGACTCAATTACTATTAAAAGTGTCATTTTATATGGCCTCTTAAAATACTATCCCCTCCTATTTAGAAACAATTTACTTAGCTGACAAATCAGATGCTAGTCATGCTTGATCAGGAGTGTGACATTTATTTACGAACCCCAACTCTATACCACAAGAATTACCAGCTCAAGGGAAAGTGGTGAGATAATAGCCCTGTATTCGGATGAGGAGGTCAAGAAAAAGTAATGCCAAACATTATTCTATAAAAGAACTTCAAAACCAAAATCTGGGAGCCTTTGGCTTCCAATTTTCCTTTTGGGAGTTTTGCAGATTGTTTTAGAGAAGACAGGTCTGCATCCTGAAACACCAGTTTGTTACATCCACTTTAAGATTCCACTGCTCATATTTAATAATGTAAACTTCATTTCATGATCTCACAGGAGAATTTAAACAAGCTGATGGCTAACTTGAGAAGCACTCACCCCCATTTTGTACGCTGCATCATCCCAAATGAAACTAAAACACCTGGTAAGGCAAGCCAAGGGGAGGAGAGCTTGAGCAGAAGAAACTCTTCTCCTGAGTGTCAAACAGCAGGGTAGTCACTAATGGTGGTGTTTGTCAGGTGCCATGGAGCACGAGCTGGTGCTGCACCAGCTGCGCTGTAACGGCGTGCTGGAAGGGATCAGGATCTGCAGGAAAGGCTTCCCCAGCAGAGTCCTCTATGCTGACTTCAAACAGAGGTAAGTGTTCTGAACCTTCCTGCCAATTCAGACCAAGCTGAACAGCCTGATTATTATAATATACTCTGAACTTTTTATTTGAAAGCAGTATTGATCATTATTATAGATGTTTCACCATCGGTTTATCATGATGCGGCAGTGCTGAGATCAGGATTGTTTTGCACTTGGAATTACTATTAAAAATATTCCCCATATCCTCTCCTGAGAGCGTGAACTGTCTCTAGGCATGAGATGGGTTCAGTGGTACAGTCTCAAAAGTTCTGGTGGTGGTTTCAACAAATGATTTCTTAATGTTTTGTTTCCTTGTACAGATATAGAGTACTTAATGCCAGTGCTATCCCAGAGGGACAGTTCATGGACAACAAGAAGGCTTCAGAGAAGCTCCTTGGGTCCATTGATGTAGACCATACCCAGTACAAATTTGGTCACACCAAGGTAAAAACAAGACCTGTGTTAAAAGTTTGTCCAGTGCAGTGAGAGTGGGCTCTGTCAGGGAATCAGGCACAGCACAAGAACATAACAGAACTGCCAGACTAGGGGCTGCTATAAGCAAATGCCCAGTCTCACAGTACTCAATCAAGGGAAGTGAGGATGACCCAGGAATTAGACTCAACTCCAGTCAACTCAACTCAGTCCACACTATCAATCAAGTTTGTTACAATAAGAATGGTCTAAGTTGAAGCCATAAAACTTTGTTTTTCAACATTTCTCAGGGTCAGATATAGGTAGGCTAAAAAGGCAAGGCCCTAGTCATTAATTAGTGGACATAGACAATCTCACACAGTGAGATTGGTCTAACATCAAGCCAGGAATTAATAAGTCATGGTAGAGCTCACCAGTGTCCATGACCAGGCAGAGGAGTGGCTGAGGCTGTGGCTGAACTGGAAACCAGTACTCATGACACATAGTTCAGGACACAAGGACTGAATGCTTAGGCTGAGATTATAGGAAGTCCTAAGCACATGGAGAGAGGATCTGGGAGGGGGCCCAAGGCGTTACTGATCATTGCCGTTAAAGTCCTTCAGCAATCTGAATGACTCTGTGCTCTATTCTATCCTACATCACAATGACATGGTGCAACATTTCCTTTCTCAAGGTGTTCTTCAAAGCTGGATTGCTGGGACTCCTGGAGGAGATGAGAGACGACAAGTTGGCAGAAATCATCACTCGCACTCAAGCCAGGTGCAGGGGCTTCCTGATGAGAGTGGAGTATAAGAAAATGGTGGAGAGGAGGTAGATATTTGTCATAATTATTTGATTTTCATGGAACTTTATTGATGAAGTTTAAATTATCCATATCCATACATATCCATACAATATCCATACAATAACTGTGTGAATTTCATTTCAGAGAGTCCATCTTCTGCATCCAGTACAATGTTCGTTCATTCATGAATGTCAAACACTGGCCATGGATGAAGCTGTTCTTCAAGATCAAGCCCTTGCTGAAGAGTGCAGAGTCTGAGAAGGAGATGGCCAACATGAAGGAAGAGTTTGAGAAAACCAAGGAAGAGCTTGCAAAGTCTGAGGCAAAGCGGAAGGAGCTGGAAGAGAAAATGGTGGCCTTGGTGCAGGAGAAAAATGACCTGCAGCTCCAAGTGCAGGCTGTGAGTATCACTTACATTTTCACCTGGAAAAAGAATTATATACTGTCAGAATGCTTCTTGTCCTGCAAAGAGACTCACAGAAAGACCTACTTTTCCTACATACAGCTACAAGAAAGACTTGATTATTTTCAAAAACATGGATACTTCCCATTCAAACTCAAATAGGACAAGGGAGTTTCTTAACACCCAATGAATGATCAGCTAGTTACCAGAGAAGATCCTAGATGTGGCCCAGAAAGAAGCCACAGAGGTAGCTGATAGGCCAGAACTCTATTGGTCATGCAGTTTGTAAAAAACTGATACATTTCTTTCTCCAAAAAAGTGTTTTCAGAAATTAAAAAGCCTGTAAATTACAACTATTTAAAGGTTTTGTCGAGACAACTAAAGAAAAATAAAGTAACTACAATTTCCATGAGAAGAAAGCCATATTCCAAGCTGATGCTTATGCTGAAATTAGAAATTGAATTACAATGTTCAGTTCTGCAATAGTGCTTGTGTTATAAGGCATTTTAATAGATAACTGCCCTGGGAGACAAATTTAGGAGACACAAAAACATTGGAATAAATATTGATTACAAATACCAAAGTTTATCAGTAGACACCACTCAAGATCCTTCCGTTCCTGGAGTTTCAGGTTCAGCTGCTATTTTAAACCTGCCTACTCTGTGATTAAAAAAGGCAGAGCAGAAGAAGTTTAAAACATTACAACCCACAAATTTCTGTCTCCCCACCAGGAAGCAGATAGCTTGGCTGATGCTGAGGAAAGGTGTGACCAGCTCATCAAAAACAAAATCCAGCTGGAAGCCAAAATTAAGGAGCTGACTGAAAGGGCTGAGGATGAAGAAGAAATTAATGCTGAACTGACAGCCAAAAAGAGGAAATTGGAGGATGAATGTTCAGAGCTGAAGAAAGATATTGATGACCTTGAGCTAACACTGGCCAAGGTGGAGAAGGAAAAACATGCCACTGAAAACAAGGTATGAGGTAGAACCTGCCACTCACATTCTGAAAAAGACCCCTGTGCTATTACAGGACTTCTATATCTACTTCCTTTATTTATATTTGCTCCTTTCTTCTCACAGGTTAAAAACCTGACTGAGGAGATGGCAGCCCTGGACGAGACCATTGCCAAGCTGACAAAAGAGAAGAAAGCCCTCCAAGAGGCACATCAGCAGACCCTGGATGACCTGCAGGTAGAGGAAGACAAAGTCAATACTCTGACCAAAGCCAAGACCAAGCTGGAACAGCAAGTGGATGATGTAAGCACACAGACATAGAGCAGGAACAGGACAGGTATGGAGCCTGACCTGGCTGGCAGAGTCCTGATGGTCTTGTTGTGTTCAGCTGGAAGGGTCCCTGGAGCAAGAGAAGAAACTGCGCATGGACCTGGAGAGAGCAAAGAGGAAACTGGAAGGAGACCTGAAGATGACCCAGGACAACATCATGGATTTGGAGAATGATAAGCAGCAGCTGGATGAGAAACTGAAGAAGTAAGTGTGGCTCTGGGGCACCTGAGTGCTGGGCTGCAGCATTTGTCTCTTTTCTTTGAGCTCTAACATGTTCATTTGGTCCAAAGGAAAGACTTTGAAATCAGCCAGATCCAGAGCAACATTGAGGATGAACAGGCCCTGGGTGTGCAACTTCAGAAGAAGATCAAGGAGCTGCAGGCAAGTGTCTGTTCCTTCCCCTGCCTTGCTCAGGCTCAGCTCAGGCAGGAGGAGGGCACGGCTGTCAAGGGTCCCTGCTGTTCTGCAGGCCCGCATTGAGGAGCTGGAGGAGGAAATTGAGGCAGAGCGAACCTCTCGCGCTAAAGCAGAGAAGCATCGCGCTGACCTGTCCAGGGAGCTGGAGGAGATCAGCGAGCGCCTGGAGGAAGCAGGAGGAGCCACAGCAGCTCAGATTGATATGAACAAGAAGCGTGAGGCAGAGTTCCAGAAGATGCGCCGTGACCTGGAAGAGGCCACGCTGCAGCACGAAGCCACGGCTGCCGCCCTGCGCAAGAAGCACGCGGACAGCACAGCTGAGCTGGGCGAGCAGATCGACAACCTGCAACGCGTGAAGCAGAAGCTGGAGAAGGAGAAAAGTGAGCTGAAGATGGAGATTGATGACTTGGCCAGCAACATGGAGTCTGTCTCCAAAGCCAAGGTATGAATTTGCAGGAGAAAATGCTCGCAGGGAAAATGCCACAGGACACAGTGTGGCACAAAAGCTGACTCTTTCACACGCATTCCCAGAAACAAAACCCCCACTGTGAAAATAAGGCAGAGTGCAGACCATCAATCCCTTTTCCCTTCCCATGTTTCACCTCCAGGCCAACCTGGAGAAGATGTGCCGCACACTGGAAGATCAGCTGAGTGAGATTAAAACAAAGGAAGAGCAGAATCAGCGCATGATCAATGACCTCAATACGCAAAGAGCTCGTCTGCAGACAGAGTCAGGTGAGACATCCTCTTCCCAAATTTCAATGGCAGGACCTGCATGCTCTGAGCAAGCCAGAGAGTACAAGGTGGCAGCTAGAATAAGCTCTCCAGGCTATTCCTGGTTATGTGGCTTTACAGGCAGAAGGTGTCATAGGGGTAACAGTCTGCTTCCTTTTTTCCCCTTTCCTTATCCAGGTGAATTTTCCCGCCAGGTGGAGGAGAAAGATGCTCTGATTTCTCAGCTGTCTAGGGGCAAGCAAGGATTTACCCAACAGATTGAGGAACTCAAGAGGCATCTGGAGGAGGAAATCAAGGTCTGGAAGTACCCTACTGTCCACAGCCTACATCAGCCCCAAAAGCATCTGCAGAATCCTGTCTGACACTAGACTGCCTCAAAGTTTCTTCCCTAAACACACATAGGACTGGAGGGAAGAGCACTAATGAACAACCTCTCACTCTTCCACTAGAGAGGAAAGGAAGAAGATATTTTAGGTGCTGGAGGAAGCAATCCACAAGGTTTCCATGAAATTCTGATGATGTTCTCTGAGACACGTTTCAGCACACATGACAGAACATATACACAAACAGCAGATTACTGTCCCAAGAGTCAGTAATGCATCCTTATGCTCCTGAAGCCTCCAGCACAAGCATCCTTGGCCAGAGCATGGCTCCATGATGGCCTCAGCCCTAGTCACATCCTGTTTCTCTTCAGATCCTGGCAGAATGGAAGCAGAAGTATGAGGAAACGCAGGCTGAGCTGGAGGCCTCGCAGAAGGAGTCGCGCTCTCTCAGCACGGAGCTGTTCAAGATGAAGAATGCCTATGAGGAGTCCTTGGACCACCTGGAAACAATGAAGCGGGAGAACAAGAACTTGCAGCGTAAGTCCTTGGCCCTCTGCTCCTTCCTGGCCTTTCTCACTATCAGCCTTTGCCACCATTGTTCATGGGTGTGTGCCTGCAGGTCTGCAGAGATGCCTGTCACCTTGGTGGGACAGGAGGAGAAATCTGAACTGCAAGCCTCCCTGGAGGAAGCTGAGGTAAAGCCTTCTGTTGTTAACTGATTATTTACAACGAGTCTGGCAACTTCAGATAACATTTAAATAATTCTATGCACGGGGAATTAAGTGGAGGCATAGGAAGCAGATTTTCTTCACACCAGTAAAAACTTTGAATCCATGGGTATGCTTTTTTCTTTCCTTTCCTGCAATAACAGACCTCTGATTATACATTATTCTTTGAGATAACAATTAATATAATGTTGTTGACATTGCTATTTTTTATAATTAACTGGATTTTATACTTTTTTCAGGCCTCCCTGGAACATGAGGAGGGGAAGATCCTGCGCCTGCAGCTTGAGCTCAACCAAGTGAAAGCTGAGATTGACAGGAAGATAGCAGAGAAAGATGAGGAGATTGATCAGATGAAGAGAAACCACCTGCGAGTTGTGGACTCCATGCAGAGCACCCTGGATGCTGAGATCAGGAGCAGGAATGAAGCCCTGAGGCTGAAGAAGAAGATGGAGGGAGACCTGAATGAAATGGAGATCCAGCTGAGCCATGCCAACCGCCAGGCTGCAGAGGCACAGAAGAATCTGAGGAATACCCAGGCTGTGCTCAAGGTCCGTTCAGCAGAGCTACAGAAAGAGAAATGAGATCCCTGACAATTCTGCTACTCAAGCATCCACTGAGGCCTGGTAATTTCCCTTGTCTCTCTTTGCAGGACACCCAGCTGCACTTGGATGATGCTCTGAGGACACAGGATGACCTGAAGGAGCAGGTGGCCATGGTGGAGCGCAGAGCAAACCTGCTGCAGGCTGAAGTTGAGGAGCTCCGGGCAGCCCTGGAGCAGACGGAGCGGTCGAGGAAATTGGCTGAGCAGGAGCTTCTGGATGCCACTGAACGTGCACAGCTCCTCCACACCCAGGTCAGGCGCTCTTGGAAATTATTGACGTTCACAAGTGAGAACAGAGATTTAAATTGTTATTTGTCTTGTAAGTGATTACTGTGTAAACATTTGAAGAGCTGTGCTGCAATATATCCCCTCCATCCAGCTCTCAATATCTGGTTTAACTGCTCTGGTGCTAAAGAAGTCTCTTGCACTACAGACTTCCCTAAACTCCAGCTGCATTTTCAGGCCTTGATGTTGAAGCGTTTGGTCTGACAGTAGGAATCCTGTGTTTCCTGTTGCACAGAACACCAGCTTGATCACATTCACGGCAAGAAGATAGAAGAGGAAGAGTGAAGATGTTCTGAGACAGCAAAGTGACCTGAGGGCTGCACAAAATGTGAACCCTCTGTCACTGTCTTCTAGATTTGATATTTTCAAGTATCTCAATACATAGAGAATAAAGAGTAGATTCATTTGCATTCACATCATGAGTAGTTATAATTTGTTTTTTACGGGTGAGGTCTGGATCACCATTAGTCTTTGGACACAGTTTTGCCTTAGAAAACCTTTGTGTAGCTTTGAGGTGGAACAGCTCTTTATCACCTAATTTCCAAATGGTTATCCCTTCAATAACACTTTAGCGAATGAACAAAGTCAGCTTCTTAGTCACATAAGTAATCCGGAAAGAAACAGAGTGAAAGAGAAAAGTGCTGTTGCCTGTGTTTGTCAAGCAGCTGTTGAGTAAGTCAGAGTATATGAACAGGAAGAACATATTTTCAATGAAATTATATTAGTTATTTCAGGCACTAAGGAAGGATAAGGAATTATACATTAGAAATTTACATTAGAAGGCTTCCATGACACTCAGCAAACAGTGCTATTAAATAATACGCCATATTTGATATACTGTTAAATCACAAAATTGTACAGATACGGAAACAAAATGCAGTGCTATTTGTGAAGATATGGACTCTGGGCTGAGAATCCCCTTTCAAGAGGGAGGTGTGCCACATGTTCTGCATAATTGTGTGAAAATATCAGCTCATTTCTCTGCAGTGGTAGCAGAAGAGAAAAAAAGAAGAAACAAGGCCAAGGAGACTAATTGCACCCAGGGACTTAGGAAGATAAGTTTTCTAAGATAACCTTGTATAAAAGGAAAAGGGCAAATTGCAGTTCTGTAAGTGCATTTACTGGAAATGTGTATCAAATGCCTTCCCTGTCTCAGGACACAGCCATACAGGCTTGAACCCTACATGTGGGCCTGAAATCTTGGGATATATACATGGAGGTATATGAAATGGTACCAGTAGGTCCCATCAGAGAAATCAGCTTCAGGATAGAGGCCAAGTGTTGGGGACTGGGCAGGAAGGTGAGCACCCCACCAGCTTTGTGGAAGTCGAGATGAGGGGTAAGCCCTGGCAGGGATTGCAAGGAAACTGCCTGTCTGCTCCCCCACAGGAAGAGAAAGCCTGAACAGACCATGGGTGCAATGAGGCAGCTGCCCACTGTCCCACACTTACCTCTGTCCATTGGTCATGTGAAGACAGCACAGACACCTGTGGTGATGCCCCAGGGTGGGTGCTGGTGTAGGGCACAAAGACATCAGTTGGGCTGTGGCTGTGCCTTTTGCCTCACCATTTAGGCTGTTGATATGGGGGCAAGTCTCCTTCAGCTTTATTCTCAGCTTCAGGGTCCATCAGGCTCCTGCCAGTCACAGGGAGCTCCTGGGCAGCAGCTGAGCAGGGCCCGGTGCCAGGGGATGGCAGCCTGGAGCCATCGAAGGGACCCTGCTGTGGGCCCTGCTCCACTGCAGACCAGCAGGGAGATCTCCCTGAAACCTGGGTGCTTCAAAACTGCTGAAACTGCTTGGCCCATCTCATTGAGGCCTGGGTGCTTTAAACCTGCTGAAACTGCCTGGCCCATCTCCCTGAAACCTGCATGCTTCAAAACAGCTAAAACTGCTGGGCCCACCTCACTGAAACCTGGCTGCTTCAAACCTGTTGAAACTGCCTGGCCCATCTCATTGAGGCTTGGATCTTTCAAACCTGCTGAAACTGCTTGGCCCATCTCCCTGAAACCTGGGTGCTGAAACTGCCTGGCCTACCTGTTAGGAGCAAATCACAGCAGAGGCGTTAAAATCCAGCCAGGTGGGCCAGCCAGTTTCATGTGTTCCCCACTGAGACACAACAAAGAATAGGTGGGATGAGCCAAAGAACAGCTGGAAAAGTTTGGGTCATCAATGCTGGAAGACAAGACCTTGAGCTGATGGAAGCAGGCACTGCTCAGGGCACAGGGCCTCACCTGCACTGGGCACTCTGCCCAGAAAGGGAACCACGGACATGCTTGGGAGTGTATGGCTGACAAAAGGACAAGGCACAGTGCCGGTGGCCCTGCCACCTCCACTGCACACCCTGTGGAGCAGCCCCAGTGTGGGACTGCAACAGTTCTCTTGACAACTGATCTGGCTGGACCTTCCTAGTGCCGGCACCAGGAGAGGCCTGGGGCTCTCAACACCCTCACTCCTCCAAGAGGAGGTCCAGCTGCCACACGTAAGGACTTCCTGGGCTCTCAGGCCAGCAGGAGTGACAGAAAAATCTCTAGGCAGCCTAAAGTGCAGACAAGCCATTTGCATGATCTACCTGTATGGAACCTCAAAAGACACAAATAATCAAGATATTCTTCCCTGTAAAGCAGATTTGAACGTGGCACTGTGAACCCAAGCAAAGCCCACCCGACCTTCACTGTTAGTGGAGGTCACAAATAAGCAGAGGTTACAATCCATCAAAACTTAACTTTGGGGGGAAAAAGGTATATTTTGATATTTCTGAAGGTTTCTACGAATTTTTTTGGTTTGCATTTGTGTTTGTATGTTATTTTGGCAGACCTAGAATGTTACTGGGCCAGCCAGTTTCATGTGTTCCCCACTGAGACACAACAAAGAATAGGTGGGATGAGCCAAAGAACAGCTGGAAAAGTTTGGGTCATCAATGCTGGAAGAAAAGACCTTGAGCTGATGGAAGCAGGCACTGCTCAGGGCACAGGGCCTCACCTGCACTGGGCACTCTGCCCAGAAAGGGAACCACGGACATGCTTGGGAGTGTATGGCTGACAAAAGGACAAGGCACAGTGCCGGTGGCCCTGCTACCTGCACTGTACACCCTGTGGAGCAGCCCAGGGAGAGTGACTGCTCTCAGGGTTGTATTTATTTGAAAGTAAGTGGTTGATGCTTCCCTCTTTTCACAATGTTGAGACTTATAAAGGAAGAGGGCAAGACCTCCTGCTGGTTCAGTGTTCCTATGCTACTCTTCTAGGTTTGTTTTCTTACTAAAAACCTAGCCTTTTATCTGGTCTTAGCTGGACATGCAATAACAACTACTGAAGGTATTTTGGCAGTGTCTCAGGTACCTAGGGAATGACAAGTATGTTTGGAAAGCTCCACAGTCTGCCTGGCTTCTAAGTCACAAATGTTACAATTTGTCATGCATTTTAAACCCAGTAATTAACCAGTCAATGTTGACAGATAGGAAGCTTGTTGGAAAGTATATCAGTCAAAGAAGAAACAAGAAAAATCTTTCAAAATAAGTAGGATTCTAGAAGGCAAGATGTCCTACTTTTATGTCCTGTTGAGTAAAGTGTGAGTTACTAAGCCAAATTCAGTCATGTTTAGAAACTGTTCCCAAAGATATCAGTGCAGATGGAGAAGACATCTAAAGAGCATTTGGCTTATAAAAGACACAAATGTAGTCCAGAAGGGATCTTTTCTATTTAACAGTAATTCTGAGTTACAGAAACAACTCAAGAACAAATGCTTCATTAAATTCTCAAGCTCTTTGCCTTGTTCTAGACATTCTCAAACATTTTGTCACACCTCCTCAAAGAGTCAGAAGTGGAAAGCTTGATAATATAATTACTGAATGCATAGCAAAATTTCCATCAGAGACGTTTGGAGACACCAGGAAGGACAGTGGATATTTATTCTCACTATGGTATTACTGTTCGCTCTCAGATGACTTGTCTTATTAACATAAGCCAAATGGGTCACTGGCTGCTTGTCTCAGGGAATGTCTGGCATGAGAGATTCTGTCCATGGAGCTAAATCAACAGGGAAATGCAAGGCCAGTTACCTTCCCTCTGATGCACAGAGCTGAAGGTAGGTGCAAAGACTGCAGTTTGAGTTCCTGTGGCATCCAGCTGCTTCCTGACATCCTCAGCAATCTGGCATACTCTGGAAAGGGCACATTTCTGAATGGCTCAGCCACTTACTGCTCCAAAACAAGTCTAAACTGAAAGCAATTTGGTCCAGCCCAGGAGAAGTGGCAGGTAAAATTAGGATTAAAACCCACATCAAAAAAGAGTGTTCCTGCAGGCTGTCCTGTATAGATGCTCTTTCTCTGAGAGCTCTGAACCCACTGTCACCCTGCAGACAGCCCTTTGGCTTTTCTCCACACATACCCGCTCTTTCACAGATTTTTACAGGTCTGCATAGTTTGTTCCTGCTAAATTATTAATGGTTGTCCTGAGTCCTTTTTGTTTTGTCTTCCCCCAGGTTTTGTTTGTACGCCCTTCATAAATCAGTGTCCGTGCTAAGAATCTGGTGATGACAGAGAATAATCTTTCCTTGGTAAGCGTGTCCTCTTGTGCCCAAAATCTCTTGGTTCCCAGTGTCTTCTTGACTGGATGTGTCCTGTGTGGCATGAGAACACATTGCATAGGTTTATGTCTCAGTTTTGTGAAATGAAGAATTGTCAGATGATGATGGCTTTGGTACTTTGCCAGCTGCGTTGTTCCATTGGTTATGTTCACAATCTAACCCTGAAACTATGGGTAATTCTGTGACTATAGAGGTAAATTTGTTAAAAGAAACTTGTTAAAGAAGAACTAAGCTACTGGACAATCTGAAAATGCTCAGCTTTGTTTTGCTTCTTGGGGAATGAAATTACACACTCCTGAAGATTTGCCAAAGTCTAGAGACATTCGTGTCATGCACCTGCTCCTGTCAAAAATGGTGTTGAATTTCTTGTGTGATTTACTAACATGTCATGACTAATGGACTGCTGCTGATCCAGCATGAACTCCTGCTGCAGAGCATGAGCTGTGTTGTTAACAACCAGTGTTTGTAGGAAGTCCTTCTCCACTGCATTCTGATGCATACACTTTAAATGTATCAGATTGTATTATTCCTTCTCTCCAGGGTGTTCTTTCATTTCCTAACAATTCGATCTAGATGGATCATTTTAATTCTTATCTCTGATGATTATGAAAAAAGTAGAAAAAATATTTAGGGGTGCACTGCTACACGCTATAATGTAGCACTGTGTTTGCAAGGGAACAGGCTGGGACCCTCAGCTGTGACAGAGAATCTCATGGCCAAAGGAAGAACCGTGTACAGGAAAATATGGCAGGGACTGGATGTTTTCCTGTGGATTGTTGCTGAGATTTACAATTTCCATTGCTACAGATTGGACAAATGTTTGTCCCCTATCAATGTGGGACCTTGATGTGCCAGGAAACCAGCCTGTTCATGGTTATTCTTTTGGTGTATTGATTATTACATAATTATTTTTACTGTGCTAGGATCATCAACAACAACAACAAAAACAAATCCTAAAAAGATATTTTTTTCTGTTCTTTCATTTCCTAACAATTCGCTCTAGATGGATCATTTTAATTCTTATCTCTGATGATTATGAAAAAAGTAGAAAAAATATTTAGGGGTGCACTGCTACACGCTATAATGTAGCACTGTGTTTGCAAGGGAACAGGCTGGGACCCTCAGCTGTGACAGAGAATCTCATGGCCAAAGGAAGAACCGTGTACAGGAAAATATGGCAGGGACTGGATGTTTTCCTGTGGATTGTTGCTGAGATTTACAATTTCCATTGCTACAGATTGGACAAATGTTTGTCCCCTATCAATGTGGGACCTTGATGTGCCAGGAAACCAGCCTGTTCATGGTTATTCTTTTGGTGTATTGATTATTACATAATTAGTTTTACTGTGCTAGGATCATCAATAACAACAACAAAAACAAATCCTAAAAGATATTTTTGTTACAATGTTGAAATTATCTGACTCCATGAAAATTTGAAGAACAGTTTAAATACTTACACAGATAGAGAGTGAGGGGTTGTGATTTGTATGCTGGTCTGCTTCCAGTGAAGGGGTCCCCTACCCTGAAATGAAGTGCTATTATTCAATATTTTGCTAGTCATGATAGCCAGCAACTTATAATTGTAGCTAAAAGACAGGACACAGCTTGTGTGAACCTGGGAATTGGTTATCAAGCACCCTCTCTTGAGGACAGTGTTCTGTGTGGTTGTCAAATAAGGAATGAGGAGGCTGTCCTTCCTGCAACCTAGAATGCCTTCCCAAGATGTCAGATTGAGCCTTAAACGCTTCAGATAAAAATCCAGTTTTAATTGTTTATATTAGTCTTTCTGCAGGAAAACCATGAATTGTGCAAGGGTATGCAGTCCCTGACATAAGAGCAAAAGCGAACATTACATTTTGCCTTCCTGAATTCAGCATCTGACAGCTTAAAATTTCTGAAACAAGTTTGTTGCACTTTTGTGGTCCCTTAAAGGTGATTGTGGGATTTTTTTTTAATAGGAAAAAACCTGCAAAGTTAAAAATTAAAAATACTAGTTGGCTTTTCTCTTATAAATGGTACATTTGGGCAACACAAAATTCCCACACGTTGCACTGTGCTGAACTTTACTGCACACCCTGTAACTTACAGAGGATTATCGGGATCAAAATGGAATATTAATAGCGGTGAAATGGAAAATTAATTTCTCCTCACTTTGTGATTTGTTGCCATACATGGAGGACAGGCATCATTTTGCAGTGACACGCTATTCCTGGAGTCAGCCTGCCTGTCAGCTGGTAAGTGCTGATGTAAAGGTAACTGATCTTGGGAAAAACATGGATCCATAATAGGCATAAATATACACCTCTGAGAGAAAGCTTAAAATAGATGCATCTGATACCTTGTTTTTATTGCAGAGACTTCCAAGTCCATGATAACCTTGATGTGGAAGAGTGACAGGTATTTCTTAGAACATAAGAGCTCCATTCCCTTTCCTGTCGTCAGAGATGGATGAACACATCCCTGTTCCACAGAAACTATTTTTCTTGAGTGACTTTATTTCCTTAAGGCTAACTAGAGAAAGTGCTTTACTCTGAATAATCTAATGCCCAAAACCCCCCAGTATTACAATCAAATTGATTGACATGTAATTTAAGGATTGATATTAGAAATTTTTTTCACTCTGGGAAATGTTCACCATTTGCACATGCTGCTGGGCTCTTTCAAAATAAAGAGGAATTATGAATAAATATTATTTAAGCAGTGATAAGTAGAGGTTTGCAACCTTTAAAGGCAAATGTGTAATTTCAAAAGAAAGAGCAAAGATGAATCTCTGGGAAATGTCTGAAGAAAAGGTCTACCAGCTTTGGGTATATTCTGTGTTTTTCCACTCAATTTCATGCTCATTGCCCAGTACCTCAATGACTGTCTCTTTAGACCATGGGTAACAGATCAATTTCCTAAACCTCTGCTTTTTCCTGGCATTGCAGGAGGGGCAGGCAGGTTGTGTCTGGTGCCTTCACACACCACAAGTGCTTGTGAAAAGGAACGCCCAAAGAAGCAGCTGAAAACATCAAAGGAAGGAGAAGAGGAGGTACTGGTGGTGACTGGGAGGACAGAAAGTATTTAGGACACTCCTGAGAGAATATGTGCTCACTGGGCACTGCAGGGTTAGCTGTTTTACGAGCAGGTGACTCTTGTAAATACAGATTGAGTGTGACCTTCATGCAAGCAACTGTGAAGCATAGAGCAGTGAGATCATGGTCCTTCTCATGAGGCCAGCCTGACCCCTGAAGTGGCACAATCCTATGCAGGAACACTGTGAGTTTTGGGCAGCTTGGAAAACACTTCCAGTCAGTTTCTGTCAAGTTACTGAAAAGATCTATTTGAGAAGAAAGAAATATTTCTTTCTGAACAAGGTGGTCATTAGAGTTAATACTGAGCAGTAAAGACCTTCTTCCACTGCTTGAAAACAGCTTGAAAACTCACCTCTCTACTCCTTTTTGTTTTCTCCTGCCTCCTGGTCCATCCTGCATGTCTCTGTCTCCCTGTCTCTCTTGTTCCACCCCATCAGAATTATTAAAATGTTCATGAGAATGGATGAACTCCTTTATGATGAGATACTTAAAAAGATTGGCTTGAATGATGATGGGTCATACTTCTGAGTGATTGAAACTGATACAAGATGGATTTATTTATATAACTGAGGAGAAAAAAAAAGGCTGAAGGAAAATAGTAGGAGCAAAATGAATGAATGCAAATTGATTTTGAAAATTAGAGGTATGTTTCTGATCCTAAAAAACCTATATATCCATATTTTGAGAACTTTATAGGTAAACAAATTTTATAGAGATTAAGATCTGGAAGATGCTATAAAATTCTGATCACTGCAGTGATGAGCACTATAGCAGAAATTTTTCTCAATCCCACTTTTGGTTTTCACTATAACTTGGCAATAACTTCTGACCTGATGAGGTTACAGAATTGACTGTAGGTTAGGTTGATTGTTACAGGCAGGCTGGGGAGGTGACTGTTTCTGTGTTTCTATCCTTATTTCCAAATGACAGCAGACTTGCTTTTAAAGTAAGGCTCAATCTTGTTTTTTGTTCCAGATAGACTTCCAGGAGTTCCAATGTTCTTCTGCTCAAGAAGTTTAAGCTTTGTTATGGATAGCAAATGCATGACAGGGATATTTATCAAGCCTCTCTAGCCAGGCAGATGTGTAAAGCATAAAGTATAGTCTTAGGTAGACAAATGATATACCAAAATGCCTACTCATGAATAGCAATCTGCAAATCACAAAAATCATTTAACAAAAGCCTTCATGACATGCCAAACATTTATCACCATTAGGGAGAGAATTGCCTGGGGGAGAACAATGTGCCTTGTAAATACTGAATTTATAACAAGGGCTGGGAATTTTACACTGACTGTTGTGATTCTATATCTGCTCTTCTACAATGACTGATGGGATGGCCTCTTTCCAGAGTTAATGTTCATCATTATATTACATCACATCATTTTTTTTTAACTTTGCTTCTCTTTGTCTGTGTTGTTAGCAGGAGATTAGTTCTCCCTGTGCTTTCTGGCATGCACCTGCCTTCTCTTCTGGATGAGCTGCTCACTGGAGGTTATACAATACCATGCTAGGAAAGGGTTCATTCATGCCACATTGTACTCCTGACACTAGCAGGGGAATCACATTCTTCCTGCACATGCCACTTTGTTGGCCTGCATCAGAAGAGCCCTGGATGCTCTGCATAAAACAAAATCCAAACTTCCTTGTTATGCAGATAATCCACTGTCTACTGGCTGCCATGCCATGGGCTTTTCCCAAACTTCCCAAACAATCCAAGAAGCCATTGCATGTGTGGATTGTTTCCTGGGCATGTTAACAAGTCTTTTGCCAGGACTGCTCTGTCAGGACTGCCACATGGACGTCTCAGCTGAGGACATGAGGGAGCTGCTGCTCTGGCAGGAACTGCATGAAGCCCAGCACCTTCCTCTGAGCTAAATGCAAGTCACCATCAACAGCCCTGTTTCTCTACAGCTTTGAGGAGACTCACACCAGGTGACCAGAAATATTCTCAGAGGGGGAAAACTGTCAGATTGACCCAGAGTCAGTGATTCTTTCATAGTTTGGAGAGGGTGAGTTACTTCAGCTGCACTGCACTGTCTTCCAAGGCTCCTCTCTGCCCCAGTTTTCCCTTCCTTCTATCCCTGTCCCTCAGGACATGATGATGCTGTTCTGACCCAGGGCTGACTGAGCCATGCTGACTGTGGTAGGCAGGTTCCAGGCTCTCCCACTCCTCCCTGTTCAGTGGGTCTGGGATGACAGCAGAAGAGGATGAGAGCACCCCTACTCACTAACCCCTACCCCCAGAATTTTGGGGAAATGCTTGGTTGAGCAGCAATCAAGGGAGGATAGAACGTGTCTAAGCACAGAGCATATTGTTGTGTGAAATCTTCCACAGGAAAATTCAGGAAATTCCCTGACAATTTTGCTGCATTAGTGCCTACTACAAGTTTTGATACTGAAGATGAGGGTGGGGGCAGTGGGAGGATAGCACAGAGAAGCTCATGCAGACATTTCTTAGGGTATCTGTGATGTGCCCAACATATTCCCTAAGGAGCCACACAGGAGATGTCTATCCAAGGGAATTCTATGGAAACCAGACAAGGGGGATATTTCTATCACCTCACTCCGCCTGCCAAAAAAAGAAAAGGTGTCCCCCCCACCTACATGGAAAAGCAGCACTGGAAAAATCTGTTTTCCAGGAATTTTTTCAGTACAACAGCCTACGAAGGTTTTCACCTCTTCTGTACATTCATGCAGAAATTTCTTCTCAAGAAGAGTTCAAGCTCTGCACAGCCACTGCACGATTGACACAGAAAGAAAATATGAGAGTAACATAAATAGTGTGCAGGCAAATGTGGGTGTACTTTCATTTTTTCATTAATTTACATTTCAGTTTCCTGAATTTGGAAGACCCCCACATTTTAGCATAATTTATGATGTCCTGAATTGTATAAATCTTGGTGTTCTTTTTATAGGAACAGATTATATACTCTGTGCAGCTGACAGAGACAAATGCCACACTTACTCCCTGGAGAATTCTAATCTCCCCCTCAAATTTTAAGATGTCAGTGAAAAACAATCCTCCTGTTTCTGAAACACAACCCGAAGGAGCAATGATACTACCATCCATAAAAATAACTGGTCTGGGATCCTTAGGGATGTATCACTGACAGAATTGTTCAGGCCAAGACAGTGCAGATGTCCACATCATAAATCTGGAAAGGTTATGGTTCATGCATGGCAGCAAATAGAGGAGAGAATGTTCATGGCCCAAACAGTACCTCCCTGATGAGAAGAACAATCCTTTGGAGACCATTTAGTGTCACATATTCCTCAAAACACTTGTAATTTATCTACACAGCTCATCACCACCAATGCAGTGGCTACTGAAGGTTTTCATTCATTCAAAAATCTGCCAGACAAATCCATGAGAGGAAAACCAGGTGCAGACTCCTGATCCCACACAGAACAAAGACAGCAGGACTGGGATGTGCCTGAGCCAGGAGCACTTGAGGAATGGGGAAGTGTTAAGAAAAAGCCTCAGCACATCTGCCTGTCTCATCATTACTGTGTTTTTCAGCCTCAGAAAGTTGCTGCAGCCAGGGCCAGCTGGGGCCTCTTCCTGCCTGGGCAAAGCAGCTCGTGCCATGCCCAGTGATTCTGGCTCCAGGCTGATGTGGGTTTCAAACTTGGCAAGTCAAGTTTGCAAAGTGCATGAGACAGAGCCTGGGGAGGCATCATGATGTAGGATGGATTTGTAAGGATCTAAAGCACCTGAAAGCAAGTGGGTGGCTCACTAGTGCCCCTTGGGTGCTGGCCAACGCCCAAGAGCTTTAAATTGAACTCTTCCAAGCTCCTCCCTTAAGGGAGTTTCTTTGCTCTACTGTGGTCTCACAAACTCCTCTTTACCCCTTGAGTCACTAATTTCTGAATGTGTAATGTAGGAATAACACAGAATATTTCAAAAGAGCCACCCGTGTGCTCCCTTACAGTTTCCAAAGTACAACACTGGTACACTCCACATCACTGTGCCTGTTTGGGAAACCCACAGAACACGTGATTTTTGCAAATGCTCTCAGCTCTTATTTTCAGTCACTCTTTGCTGCTGTGCTCTCATCTTACCTCTGAACTAATGGTGGATTGTTTTATTTACTGCAGTGTTACACAGCCCATATGGATCAAATATTAAGTTACCATCTCAGTTGTCAAGACAGCAACAAACAATTCTGGTTTTCATGCTATAATGCAGATTTTCCAGCAGTCACAGCTAACTTGGTACACCTGTGACTGGGTATAGATGCAAGGGATTTAATGAGTAGTACAGGCTTCTCCCATGAGGCGTGTGGTGTTCCCTATTTCTCAGAAGAGTTATTGCAAGAACTCTGCCAATTAAAAAAGTGACATCATACCTCCTGTTGCTCTTTCACCCTGGGATTTCCTATTCGTTTCTTTAATTAGAGCTTTTTTGCTGGCCTTGAGCTGACTGAATATTGATGCCAAATATATGTTTTAAGGCTGAAGAACTGGCAAGTTGCTAGTCCAGTAAAAAGCACATCTATTATCTTCTATTCTCCCTTCCTATTGCCTTTTTACTCCTCCTACATTGCAGATCAGAAAAGATATCTTGACCTGAAATGTTCTCAGCAGGACAGGACTACACCTACACCAAACCTTCATCACCTATAATCCAGACAACCAACTGAGCCAGCAATGGGCAGCAGTGCCACTCACACCCAGATGCTGGGGGATCCCTCAGGGGCCCTTTCTCCACCTGCAGAGAGTTTGCAAACTCTGTCTGCTCTTCCTCAGTGTGACTTGTCTCCTGTGGGAAAGCAGCAGCTGGTTAGAGCCAGGATTTTCATTTGCTTAAGGTAACAAGCAGCCAGCAGCTGACGGGAAAGGCTCCAGCAAGCAAACCAGTGCACCCATTTTCGAGCCAGAATGCATCTATTACTTAGCTTTTTAATGCTTTTTGGATGATGGAGGTGCATGATTCCCTTATGCTGGAACATTCTTCCTTAAATATTCACAGTATCTCCTCTCCCATTTTCTTGGCTACAGGATACAGGAGCCCAGATGAGAGATTTCTTGTCTATGACACACCTGCTTTCATACTGTGTCTCTCTTTAAAGGCTTCATTTTATTAATACTTACAGGAAATAGTGACATATGGAAAGACAGGTTTTTGCTCTCTACTTGTTAGAGCTTGAATTCCCAACTGGGAAAGACTTTGGTCTTGGTTGCCACCATGAATTATCCCTGCCTTGTCTAGCTGGGACTACAGTAGCTCAAGAACAGTATTGGGCACGGCTATCCATGGAGTCTGTTTTCTTATCCCTTAACTCTAACTTCCACTAGATAGATAAGAGTGTCACTGACACGATAAGCACCAGGACTCTCCGTGTTCACTGAGGCACAGGATTGCTACCACAGCTATTAACAGAAGAAATCTGAATGCAAGGGCAACAAAAAGGAAATCTGAACGAGCTGGGAGTTACACACCCCTGGATGT